AGGGATTCGGGGTCAAAACGAAACTGGCAAGAAACGATATTCCGAGACTAATAGTACCTCTGTTGTTAAAAAGCTTTCATTACTTTTCTCAAGAATATTAAATTCATAATGATATAGAATACCAAATATTGGATTTTTATCATTGTAAATGCATTCTGTATTCTGTAGCCAAGTGCTATTTCTGTTAAATAGCACGTGTTTTTCATAGTTTTGTTTATTTTTTAAAAAAGAGCTATTTATCGTTAGTTATTCTATTTGTAATTTTTTCTTTAGTTGAACGCAATAGAATTCGTTATTAATGTTCGTTCCATTTCTCGGAATTTTGATTACACTTTCGAAAGCTTTTGAAACGCTATCACAGTTCTGGGAGCTGAATACTACAAATAACACTTAAAAGGTTTCAACAATATAAAAGGATATTACTTCTTTTTGTTTATAAATTTGTTATGAATAAGAGCTGTTATTTCAGTTTTTAATTCCATTGTAGTATTAAGCAGTCTAACTTCGCCAAGAGAAATTTTAATTTTTTAACGTAAAACACAAATTAAACATATACTTCGTTTCTCCTAAAGTTACAAATTCCTCTTGAGTATTGGTGATTGTGAATACTGAGTATTCCGAGTGTCGAACATCTTTAAGATGTTAGAGTCATTTTATTAGCTGATGTCGATCAAAACGTTTTGACAGTATTTCAGTAGACTAGTGCATTAATTAATGAACATTTCTGCATAACCCGTCAGCTTTTAGCAAACGCAAAAAAGAAATGAACTGAAGGTAATTAACAGTGTTCGATGCCTAGTTAGTAAAGGTAACGTAACCCGTAGTAAAAGACCCGTAGTAACCCGTAGTAAAAGAGATTATGATTAGAATTTGAAAAATCATACGAAGGTTCTCTGCCGAAGAGAGATGAGCCTTTGTTGAGGACATTCTACAGAAAATCATCTCGTATATACGATATACATCGAAAAAACACAACCAAACATATCGGTAGCCCGTTCACCTGGGAGCGAAGCCAGGTTGCAGCACTATCTGAAGCCATGTTATTTATATTATGTGTATTTTTATATATATTATATATTCATTCATTCATATATATATATATGTGTAATTAAAACAAAATTTAGAAGTACAGTGGAAATTCGAGACAGGAGTTTAATTCGTTCCGGCATTGAGCTCGTATAGCGAATTTCTCGTATCTAGAAACAAGCTTTCCCATTGAAAATAATGGAAATCCAGTTAATCCGTTCCGCACTCCCAAAATATCAACATAAACATTAATTTTTCTAATAAATAACACTGAGAAATACTAATATAACCGTAGTTTACTTTATGATAGCTTCCGACACGGACCGTTTAACTGCTTCTCGTTAACCCACACCAACAATAGCTTTTTAACATATTCTAGGAATTTTGGATGGCGCTTGGAAGTAAGGGTAACTCCTTTGGCTACATGAAGTTTCTTAATTTCTTCCTGCTTCTTCAGAATAGTGCTGATCATCGATGTCGAAAGGCCGTAAGTCTTCACCAATTCCAATGCTCATTACTTGAGTCAATGCTCATATTTAGAGACAAATATTTCGCTCACACTTTCCTCTTATCTCGAATTTCTCGTATGTAGAGGTGCTCGTATCTCGAGGTTCTACTGTATTGATGTAGGAACACTGAAACGCAGAAATACTGATGGCGCAGCACTTGTGACGAAAAAATACTGTAAGGAATGTCTTAATTTTTTCAAGAAATAACTGTAAAAGATCACAGTTTTGTAAAATCTTTGCTTGAATATCATAATCATAATATTTTGCGATCGTTAGCTTAAAAGTCTTTCGAAAAAAATTGTTGTTGTCAATATAATACCAAAAGTTTCTTTAACATATTCATATGTGTGTGTGTGTGATTATGGCAAAGCCTCGAGGGCTATCTGCCTAAGGGGAGGGATGCCTTCGTGGAGGACTTTCTAAGGGAAACTGGCTTATATACACGTTACACATGGGGAAAACCACGAAAACGCCCATGCAGCCAGCCCGTTCGCGAGATTCGAACCTCGGACCGAACTACCAGTGTTCAGCGATTTTACCGCTCGGCCGCTGGTGGGGTTAACATATTCATAAAAACTAATTTTTAACACTTTTAAAATAATCTCAATTTTCTTAGCCCTAAAGCAATGTAAAATGGAATTTAGAACTTAATAAATATGGGAAAACAAAAAATTCAGTATAATAATAGAATAAACTTTGATTTAAAATGGGCAGGCCCTCTACAATGCAATTTTTATCTTACATATATATGCATTCAGTTTATGTGCACTAATATTATGAGTATTTATATATAAATGTTTATATATATGTGTATGTACTCATATATATATGTGTGTTCGCATATTGATATATATATCGATATATATATAAATATACGACACACACGCAGTGTGTTATCATATCATGATTATTGATTATTATTCATTCATGTCGCGATATAAACAGGCTACCACATTAGGCCTTTTGAGCACATTTTGCTTCTGACACCGCATTAACAGAAAAAAACTAACAATTGTTATATAAAGATTTGAAAAGTTTCTAAGGCACTCAAAATAAGTTTTAGTTAAATATTTCAATTCATTCAAAAAAAGAATTTACTATTTCTAAATTTAGTGTTAACAGTGTTAACGTTCTCATCAGTCGCGATTATTCATGGGCCATCAACTGGCTGAGTAGATAAGATTGCTGAACACTGGTTGTTCATCCTGAATTCTAGCAAAAGAGCTAGTTGCATGCATGTCTATACGTGTTTTCTGTTGTGTAACGCAAACACGAGCCAGTTTTTCTTCAAAAGCCATCCAAGAAGCATTCTAACAGTAGGCAAACGACACTTCGCGTGCTGTGGCCGTATTTCGACAAAACGAAAGTAAAGCGTAATTCCGAGTAAAATCATGTGGAATTCAAGATCTCGATTTCGATGAAATTAGGACGTTTTTATAATCTTTATCATTCACCATACCGCTGGTAGAAGTTATATTACCAATTGCAATGGCCATTTGCCAAATGGCTACCTGTTTTCAGAGTATTTATTTCGTAGTAAACTTTTTAAGAAAAGCGTAGATATATTTTTATTAAACTAGCCGCCTAAAATAGTTATAATGAAAAGAATATATATATATATAATGGTTTTAATGAATCCAAGTAATGCAATTTTTCAATTTTAACTAGTAATTAATTATATATATAAGTCTGCGCTTATTGCTTTTAAATTACTTAGTTTGTTAATTGATAACAGAATACATTTGGAAGAAAGAGATAAAATAATTTATGCTTCTCCAAATTGTAACAAGCTCTTGCGTGAAAAATAAAAATATTTTATATTGGATAGTCGCAACGCATTTCATTTAAAGCCCTGAGTTCTTTGACTAAATTTGAGAGACAATTATTTAATTTCTGACAGGCAACACGTATCACTGATTTTTCTGATTAAACTTGAAACATAAATATATATGCTTTGCAGAGTAGCAACACAAAGCTTTTATATCGCTGACCAATCGTTAGTCAAAATATCACTAATCAAAATTTATATCGTTAATTAAAATTTATATCGCTAATCAAAAGTTAATTAAATTCGCAAAAGATTCGACATAAATAAAAAACAATTTCGAAATTCAATAATATAGTTCCGAGGTGCTTGCTAGAGTGGAAGAAGACTGACTACCTGGTTTCAAAACCTGATGGTTCTGCAATTCTGTTGCCATCTTTTTCAAAATTGCTGACCCAGACATTTCAAAATTAAAATGCTTAGGAAAAAATATATATGTATATATATTTTGTGTTATTTACAAAGATAATAAAATGTTTTTATTATTATTATTATTATTATTTATTAATGACTATTAATTAAATTATTGAATTAATTAATTTTAAAATTAATAAAACGATTTATCAGATTTTGCTACTAAAAAAAAAATCTTATATGCACACCGTGATTTCACTGTACGGAGTATTAAGTTATATACATTTTTTTTTTTTGCTGAATTTCATTTAAACTTATTTCCCCGAATTATTCTAACTTTATTAACCGATTCCTCAATCTTAATTGAAAATGACAAAAAATTTCAAATTTTCAAATTAAATATGCCGCTCAATTTTTGTTGCACGAGAGTCAAACTTCTTATAATTTTATTTTTTCATAGCAAGTGTAAAAGTTTACTAAAAATAAATATAGGAACCGGGAGACCGAGTTAAAAGTTAGATTTCGTATTTGTCGAAAATTAATTAAAAAAAAAAAAATTTGACATTGCCCAAATATGAATAACTTCGCGATTTAAAACACTTCTGTAATATCAGCATTTGACTATGACCAGTGACTGCGAAAATAAAGGCCGGGTAAGGTCTTGTAAGTCAGTTAAGGGGGGTGTAAATTATACTCTCTCTCTCTATATATATATACATACATACAGTGTGGTTCAAAACTATATGCCAAAAATGTACAGATAGAGGGAACTTCAATAAGCAGATTTCATATAGGGATGTGTGTGCGGTAAAGCCGCATTAAAGCGCTAGCACATAAAGCAGTATGAATCACAAGAAACTGAAAAGACAAGTAAAGACAAAAGAAAAAAATTACTCACAGTTTACAATAGGTGCTCGAAAGAACGGCCACCAACAGCGATTCAAGATTCACAACGGCGGCGCATGGATAGCCGTACATTAGGAAAGACGTGAGGCACGTCGATTTTCTGCAGATGTGAATGGAGTCTTGTACACGAGGTTTTCAATTATGACCCCAAAAGAAGAAATCCAAGTAGGTTAACGCTGGCTGGGGAACTGGTCCTCCCTGTCCTATCCAATTCTGGCCGTAGACACGTCCAGGTGATTCCTGACGTTCCGGCTGAAGTGAGCTGGGGTTCCATCGTGCTGGAACCACATTCGTCCATGAACGTGCCATGTTAGTTATTATGAGCGCACAGGTGAGAATTAAGAATGTTAAACATATCCGACCGCGTAAAGGTAGCCTCATCAATGAATAAAACCATCTGCAGGGAAAGTTTGATTGCCTGCCGACTGCTGTAGGTACCAATGAGCAAAGTTCAGACATGGAAAATATTCGTCAAGGTTCATTGCTTGCACTCTCTGTAAATGATAGTGATGAATTCGGTCTTCATGTAACCTCAAAACAGCTGCATGGCTCACACCCAGCGTACGTCCTGCAGCTCTCGAGCTTGACGAAGGATTATCCCCTACTGTGTTTAGTATTCTTTCTTCCACTGCAGTAATTCTGCGAAATCTTCCAACGCCAGTATAACGCCTGGATGCATAAAACGATCCACTCGCGCTTATCTCTCGATGAAGACGCTCGAATGTTCTACTATCCGGCAGCTCCCTCGCCGGAAATTGCTCCCTGTACACCCTTTGAGCAGCTAATCCATTTCCTTGTGCAGCCCCATACATGAAATGTATGTCGGCAAGCTCCGCTTTGGTGTAACAATGCATGCTGCTCAAGATTCGTCCGGGAGATGAAGAATCCAGCCAGCGCAGCGTTTTTATATGCCGCACTCATCAACGCTCTCTACTGGCTCAACGTAGCATTACCAAACACACATTTCTATATGAAATCTACTTATTTAGGTCCCCTCTACCTGCCTTTATATTTTTGAAATATAGTTTTGAACCACCCTGTATATACATTTTTCAGTATTCACTATAGCAATAAAAAAGGGAGGTGAAGATGTTTGGTTTATTAGATTATGGCAAAGCTCCCGAGGGCTATCTCGCCTTAAGGGAGGGATGCCTTCGTGGAGGACTTTTTAAGGGAAACTGGCTCGTATACACGTTATACATGGGGAAAACCACGAAAACACCCATGCAGCCAGCTCGTTCGCGGGATTCGGACCTCGGACCGAACTACCAGTGTTCAGTGACGTTATCGCTCGGCCGCTGGTGGGCCAGTGGGAGGTGAAGAAATGGATGCTATAGCAGTCTCAAATGCAAAATTTCAACGTTCGAAAGTTTAATCGTTTTTGAGTTAACCGAGGTACATTTTACATTCAGCCTCAGGGAAACAAATCCAGTTTGAATCCATTTTACAATTCGTTTTTGGAATAAAGAGGCCTATTCTGTCTGTGCGTACAGATGTCATGCAAAAAAAAAAAAAAAAAAAAAAAAAAAAAAAAAAAAATTGGATTTCAGGCACGGTTAAAATGGATATTTCCACTGAAATCTGCTAAGCGAAATTTTTCGCGATTGCAATACTTCGTTTATTTCGTACAAGGAAATAAAAAACTCAGTTGTAAAAAACTATAATCATCTGAGTTAAACAAAAGGTTTACATAGCTGCGAGACAAAAAAATTATGAATTGTACCTTTAATTTATACGTTTGCTGTATATAAAATAGTATATATACATATCCAGAACTTGTTTACTCTCGAATAATTAAAATAGAATTTAAAAACTTTAAACTGAAACTATCCCATTCGCTTTATAATATTCGCAGGTTAGAAATTCTAAATTTCATTTTTTGACATTCTTGGCCTTGGGATAAATTTGAGTGGAGATGAAGTTATATTAAATAAAATACTAAAATAAAATACTCGCAAATATTTTCGCAGATTTGTTTTATTTCATTAGAATTTCATAATTTCTAGGAAAACCGGACAAATTAATTGTTAATTCGGACCATGAATCTAAAAACAGCTTATCCGAGTGAATTTGGTTTGATTTATTTTAATTATGGCAAAGCACAATAGGGCTATCTGCCTAAGGGAAGGGATGCCTTCGTCGAGGACTTTCTAAAGGAAACTGGCTCGTGTACACGTTACACATGGGGAAAACCACGAAAACGCCCGTGCAGCCAGCCCGTTCACGGGATTCGAACCTCGGACCGAACTATCAGTGTTCAGTGTCTTTACCGCTCGGCCGCTAGTGTGCCTTATCCGAGTGAAAACCAGCCTAGTGGTAACAATGTGTCTCTAGCAGTAGGCTCGTAGAGAACTTCTACTTTTTTCTTACATTAAAAAAAAAAATCTGTGTGCAGCCGTTTTTCTACTAGAAAATGCACAAAATATACATACATGCAAATAGCTTCTTCCTTATTTAATAGTACAGAAAATAATAAAAAAATGTGGGCAAAATTCAGCTCGTTTGTCTATCCGAAACTAATTATTTATCTTTAGATTTAGCTGCTCGGCCATTATCATGAAATGTTAAATAAATCTTCTTGCCAATACTAAACAAATTGTATGAATGTGCTACTAAAGACACTACGCTTCTTAATAATAGAAAGAGACACAGTTTGACATTAATTAAGTTATTATTTACATGATATCTTTTATAATAACAAAACTTTTGTTGTTTTAGTTTCTGAGTTATTAAAACAATTCCAAAATATACAACTTTTTACTCTTGCCAAAACCAAATCTAAAATACAATGTTGCTAAGCTCTTTTTCCTTTAAGAAGTATTAAACAGATAAAAAATTCGCGTTTATCTAGCAACTATCAATAACATTTAATTAAAAATAAAAATGGCTTGATAACAAGTATTAGAATAATTACATAAATACGCTGCTAATATGCATTCAATATATACATTATATAATAATTAATTACAATTTTTCTCGAGTAAAAATTAAATGTAAGGTCTTTTAGTGCAATCAAATTATATATCTTTCTATGTATTTGTTTGTTAAATATGGTAAAGCGCATAAGAGCTATCTTCCCAAGATAAGAAATACCTTCGCGGAGGACTTTCCGAGAGAATCTGGCTCGTATTTACACTACAAATTGGAAAAATTACGAAAACACCAATGCAACGAGCCTGTGCACGGAAATTCGAACATGCGGTTAATACGATTTAGTGGTCTTACCCACTCTACAATTGCGCGGGTTCTATGGCTACGTGTAAATTACCTTAAATAATAAAAACATGCACGCGTTTCATAATTTTGAGAAATAGGCTTTGGAGCATTGCTACCCAAATAGAATTATAATTTTATTGCTAAATATACTTAATTCTAAACTTTTAAATCAAAAGAATGAAAATAGTAAAATAAATAGAAATAATAATATAATAAGAATATTCCCGAAATAGTTTTGTACTAATCTAAGTTTTAAAGTTATTAGACAATTTAAAACAGTTTGCTTGACTGTAAAAATTTACCCGTGACTGAAATTTTGAAGCGTAAGCAAAATTTTTGGATTTCTAACACTTACATATTAAAAAAAAAAAAAAAGAAACTGATGAAAAAGAAAAGAAAATGAAATTTAAATCTCCACCATAGAAATAATATTTTAAAACTAAAGCTTCGTAAAAACAGAAAACAGGTCAATTTTGAACAGTTTATTTTTCACCAGTAGCGATGAAGAGCCAATTATAGATGCCCTTCCCCATCTGCCGTTTATTCGGATAAGCAGCAGAATCACACAACAGCGTGGAACAGACCGATCCACCTTCATTTTCAGAGAAGCTGTGGACGCTTACTCTTACTACTCCATCACCTCCTGAAAGCGAGTATCGTCTGCTCGAAAGCACCATGGGTGATGTGCCATACGCCTTCCTCAAGAAGCTACGAATTCGAAACCAAGTAGTGCGTGAATTCTTGGCCGAGTTTTTGGGAACCTTCATCTTGATCGTGAGTATCGAATTTTTTTTTTTTTTTAGATTCTTCTCGCCAATTTTATTTTTCACGTGATATTCAGAGAATGAAATCATTCTAGCTTTCATAGGATGTTGGTTATGCATTTCAGTTCGTTGAAGCTGTGAATGATTTAGTACTTCTAATGCTTTACTGCAATTTATAATTTTTATTGTATTTAACAATTTTTTGGCGCGAATTCCGAATAAGTCTTTTGTTTTTACGAAAGAAAAAAAAATATTTTTGACACAAATAAAAAAAATGACAAAATATTTCGAATGATATTATTGGCATAATTTTACTTTCATTCACATTTGTACTGTTTTGAATGAAACAAAATGATAGGCATTTTCTTAATAAAATATTTTTCTTTCGAATGATATTATTGGCATAATTTTACTTTCATTCACATTTGTACTGTTTTGTATAAACAAAATGCTAACATTTTCTTAATAAAGAATTTTTTATTGATTTGTATTGAGACAAGGTACTGAGTTTGAAAATAATCTTACTACTGTTTTCATTTTTGATATATTGTGTTTTTGATGTATTTGCAGATTATTTTAATTATTCTGTTGCCGATTTGGGCTTATTAATTTTTTTGTCACATTATATGAGGGTCAGGAAATAGTAAATAATGGAATACATTTCTGAATAATAAACATACATCATTTCTTAAATGCTTCTCAACTGAAAAAAAAACCTTGCTTTTACCTTGAATGCGTGAATATTAAATTTACTCCTATGTTGTTATTTTTGGAATTTTAATTAATAGTTTCACTAAAATTACATTTAAATGTAGAAATAAAGAATTTTTAATTAAAGAATGGGGCACAGGAATTATTTACCACAAACATAGGAAGAAACAAAGAATTTAAAAAATTAAGGAAATAAACCGAAGATAGGTAAAATTTTAATTAATTTAAATTTTGTTATCAACTTGTATGTGATTTTCTAGTGATATAAATTAATAAAAGTAAACTGAGCTATTAAACAAATCAAAATATTGTATTTTTTTCGGTATTAGTCGGAGTTCTAATGGGTTTGAAAGAACATTCCACATTTTTTTTATAACATTGGGAACTTCTAAATTTGCAAATAATTCACATAGCGCGAATAAGTATTCACATCCATAACGTTTCCGTAATTTATGTAATAGTCTTTTTATCCTGTGGAATATTACGTATATTTCTAAATCGTTATTAATATCAATAAAAATATTAGGTTTATTTTGTCTTAAAATGAAAAATCCTTTTTGTGAATGAATACTTAAACTTCATTCGTCAAAAGAACAAAGTTTCTGAGAATAATTATTGGACAGATTTAAAAACTTCTTTGTAATTTCAAATTTAATACGTAGATTTTTTTTATTTAATTCCTTGAATGCTTTATTCTCGCGTTCAAAATCAATTAAATCTGGTAATAGAGTGAAATTATTACTCTTTTCGAAAGATTTTTATAGTTTAAAATTTTGATGACTAATAATGCTCGTTAAGATTTTCTTCCGTTACCTATAGAGAAACGGAATTATTTCACTCTTGTACTAAATGTTAGAATAACTGCAATAGCCATTCGTTTGATGTTCTTTTTTTTCATGCATACTCTCACTTATTCTTTAAACTGAAACTCGTGTTAAAAACTCTGTTGCACGAAATCTGTCGAATTGTTACGTCATGGTTACCTCTCTTTTTGATTCACTCTTATAGGAGTGGGGTGGAGGGTACAAAGAATTCATGTGCGAGAGATCTGTTGCTGACTTCGTGACGTAACGGGAGCAGACGACTGAAGGTGAAATTCAACATAAAGATTTTTAGGGTGTCGTAGGGTTAACTGCCGTGTAATCCAAGTAGATTAAAATGAATGTGAAGGAAATATAAATACGATTATAAAGAATTTTATCTCTTTTAATTGTAAAAAATACTCTATAACTCGGCAGTCTTTTAGAAGTAGATAAGTTTCAGATTCATTTTATAATCTTCGATTACAATTAAAGGAGTAACTGCTGATATTTATATACTGGATTCATATCGAAAAAATGTATCAGAGGAGTAATTGCGCTTAACCTATAATGTAAATTATTATAAAATTTTAATAAATATGCGTTCAAGAGTTTAAATCTTTTCTTGCAATATTTTAAATTGCAAGTCAGGTTTAACGTGATTTACGTTTTAGAGTAGGATTATCCAATTCTTTGTGATTAAATTTTTTTTAATTAAATTGTAAGGAATTTTAATTTAGAAGTATTAAAAACTTTTTTTTTAACCAAAGATGTTAAGCATAAATTCTCTAAAACTGAGACATGAACTCGTGAATGAGGTAGGATCAAACTATTTACTTTTTCTTATTAAAACAGTGAAAAAGTTTATTATTTCATTCAGCTACAATTCTTTTTCTTTCCTTTTTTTTTTTTTTTTTTTTTTTTTTTTTTTTTTTAAAACAAATGATAGAAATAAAAATAAATTATACCAAATATGAGATATGACTAAAATAAAATGAATATGAGATAAACTTAATGAACTGATATGATAAAACTGAATGAGATAAACTAAAATAAAATTTTCATATATTTAATACATGAAATTTTTGTTAGTTATTCTAATTAATTACGTATATTGATGTAGCCAGAGAAAACTTTATATTAATACCATTAATACTACAATACTTCGAGTTAAAAGTATATTTTTTGATTATTCACATATATTTGTATAATTATTTAATAAATTTCTAAATTCATAAAATTTAGAACTTTTTGTCTAAGAATTTAAATAGAAATTGAAATTACAGAAAATATTATGTATATCTCGGTATGCTGCTTTCATAATCTTTAATGAAAAATTTTTTATGTATTCTGTCTTAATATGAAATGAGTAATCCTTTCTGAAATATGTAATGAGTAATCATGTCTGTTAATCAATATATTATTTATCAGTCTGCTGAGTAATATATTATATATTAGACATATATTTACAGAATTAATATTAACACTCTTGAGAATTTTCTGGTTTTCACGTAGTGATCTTAATACGATCCAAATAAAGACGCGAAATTGATGTCAATAGATCACGCTTGATCATTCAGTTATCTTCTAATTTATTAAAACACATTTCTTGTCATAGCAAAACTAAGCATTAAGAAAGTATTTTATACGTACTGTTTAATTTTATTTTATAACACGTGTTATTTTAGTCATTGGTATGATAAAGAAAATACATTTCTGGTACCTTAGAATATATCAACTAGAAAATTTCTAATTCTAGTTATCATCGGCATCAAATCAAAAACTGTACATTATCATCGGCATCAAAAATTAGTTAAAGCAAAGTTAGGTTATTTGAACATGACAAAGCTCACTAGAGGCTATCTGCGCAAAAGGAGGGATGATATCGTGAAGGGCCTTTCTACGAAAAACTGGTTCGTAATCGCGTACACATGGGGAAAACCAGGAAAAGCACCTGTGCAGCAAGCTCTTTCGGGTGGAATCGAATCCGAGTCAAACTTCCAGCAGTCTTAACCACTCGGCCACTGGCGAGTCTTCGAAAATAAAACCTAACTGAATTGGTGTTGGTGTATTTATAATTATGGCAAAGCACACTAGGGCTATCTGCCTAAGGGGAGGGATGCCTTTCGTGGAGGACTTTCTAAGGAAAACTGGCTCGTATACACGTTACACATGGAGAAAACCACGAAAACGCCCATGCAGCCAGCCCGTTCGCGGGATTCGAACCTCGGACCGAACTACCAGTGTTCATCGTCTTTACCGCTCGGCCGCTGGTGGGCTCCTAACTGAATTGATACAATTATGTAGTAATATATAGATCGCAATTCTACCTGCATTTCTTGAATTTTGAATAAAATTAAGAAATACATGTAGAGAATTGTTGTAATGTAACTTTAATATTTCAGTATTTTCACGTTTATTCCATTTCCCCTCTTATAAAGAAATACAGGAAGAAGGGCAAACATTATCAGTATTGAAACCTTTTTTTTTTTAATGTTAGATTTTAATTTTATTTCGCAGTAGAATTTTATTAGTTTGCAACAGTATTATTTTCATTTTATTTCTAAGTTCATAAGACTTAAGATGTACAAGCAACATAACCATGTTCCATTACCATTACACTAATAAATTTGTTTTAAATTTGCGGAAATACCTTATACTTTTTAGTATAATAATATTTTCATCCCCCCCCACTTTAATGAAGAATTGTTTTTAAATTATTTTTAAGAACATTCATTGTAGAAGTCACGATAATTTGAAACATTTCTTTAATTACTGAAATTCAAATGAAATTTTTCTTTCAGAGTTTCGAACTGAGTGCAAAACTGCAAAAATCTTGTAATTAAATCCGCTCGTAAGATTTTTTTTCCCCTGTAGATACATTTGGTGCCTGATTAGAATTTTGTGAAAGTAATACGCGAGCTTTTTATGGCAAGTAATAAATTGCAGCCTTTTAAAACCTTAAAAGCAAAGAACAGGGAGAACATTAAAATGAAGCCCACCAGCGAACTGGTGGTAAAATTAACTTAACATTTGTAGTTCAACCTAGATTCGATTCCAGGGAAACGGGCGGACTGTATGGGTTTCTCCGTGTTTTTCGTGTGTAACGGGTACACCAGCTAGTTTCCTTATAAAACACTCCACGTAGGTATCCTTTCTCTAGATAGACCTCGCGAGCTCTACCACAATCAAATACACCAAGCTTAAAATATTGAAATGGCTGTGAGAAAGATTATGTAATTTCCTCTTCTCAGTTTATAATTTTGTCACTTTCGTTGCCATAAAATCAATTAAAATAGTAAAACAGTGCAACTTATTTCTTACTGGGGCATTGATAATTTAACTTTTGCAATATTTTAAATGACTTGATTGTTAAGAATTTGATTAAAAAATTAATACAACATTAAAAAATATTAGCAAAGCAATAAATATTTAAAAAAATTAGGTATAATTAAAAAGAACACGCATACCATATTTTATTTCTTTTCAAGCTTTCAAA